GAGAGAGAGAGAGAGAGAGAGAGAGAGAGAGAGAGAGAGAGAGAGAGAGAGCGCTTACGTTGTGCGCGCTAATGGTGGCTCTTTTTGATCGTTTCCGATGGTAAGTTTCCATTTTCACAGTGAATTAAGCTGTAAAAGTCTTACATGAGAATCAAAACAATATATATAAAAAGGAATGCATATTTGTTGATGTAATCATCAAAACTTATACATATGATCGAACGATGATACTTTTTTCTCAACAAAAAAAACGATGATATTTTCATAACTTTAGCGATATATACATTAATTTATCCACCGAAAAGAATGAAATAAGAACTCATATTGTGTGTTTAGGGTTTCATCAGTAAGTTTTATTCAAAAACAACTTAATCGAAAGAAGAAGATATGAACTTATTCCCTGTGTGAATTTAGCATTACATAGAACACAATAGATATTCAACAGAAAAGAATAAGCAGGAAAAGCAAAAGGAATCAAGTGTTAAATGATATGCAGGTTTGACTAAAAGATGAAGTTAATATAACCTTACAAAAAGCAGTAAGAACATTTGTTAAGAAGCTCATTGACTCCTTGTATTTATTCGAAAACAGAAAGATATCAGAAAGCCGAGACACAAAAGCTACATTTAATCGATTACCTTTTAAATCGCAGCAACTTTATCGAAAATTAATACTTGTTCTTCAGGGGAGAATATTCAATGTAGAAAGAATGATTGAAGAATTGAAGAGAAATGGATGGAGGGTTTACTTAAATCGCCATGATCATAAAGATGAAGGTTTCTGCGTATCTTTTCTCAGATGCTTCTAGAGTGAGAAAGAGGGAGAGAGAATACGCATTCCGTTAGAAAATCTTGGAGAGAGAAAGTGAGAAGCATACGTGCCGCACCTCACGTGTTCTTGTAATAACACGGATGGCCACATTTACAACATGTAAATTTACTGATATGCCCCTTTCCCCTAATATTGCATTTTTTGGCAAGATCTTTTTATTTGGACATCCATATACAAATCAGATGAAGTATTAAATGATGTTTTATAAATGATTGATGCATTAAATGTCGTTACAGTTTAATATTATTAAATATATATTTAAAAAAATATATTTATATAATTATATAAATTTGAATATACTTTAGATCCCTTTCTTTAATTTAAGAAAATTGTCATAAATATGTTACAAACTATCGATTTTCTGTATTAAGTAACATAAGTTTCAAATGTATTTAATAGGTTTATGCAGTGTTGTAGAAATCGAGATTAATCATGGATTAATCGATTGATGTTCTTCAACCGACTAGGGTTATGGTGTTTGACGGAAATTTGTCAATTTTGGTCAACGACGGGCTTGGCGGTCAACGACGATCAACGAAAGTCAAAATAAGTCAATTGTCAAAGCTAGTCAAAATTAAAAAAAAGGCTCCAAAAAAGGCTCTAACCCTAAATTCATATATGTCTTGAACCATTCAAAAGGTTCTCAAAACAGTCTCTAACACCTTGTTCCCGAGTTCAACTTAAAGAAAGAAAAGAGAGGAAATAGATGGAAGTAGAAGAAATAAAAGAAATTGGTGTTCTCATTTCATTAAAGGAATGAAGTGGAAAGAAATGAAAGGAAATGGAAGAATCATTTTCCCTCCTAACTTTCCTTCCGATTTGGAAGGATTTAGAGAGAAAGAACAAAATGTTAAATTTCTTTTCACTTCTTGGGAACACAAAAGACAAATTTATTTTCCTTTCATTTCTCTTCTTTTCTTTCCTTACTTTATTTTCTCTTTTTTTTCTTTTCTTTTCTAAAACTCGGTAACTAGGCGTAAAGGACTTTATATGTGGCTTAATGGTGGAGGAAACCCAAGCCATTAATGATGTTTTCTCTTTTAGCAATGTACTTTGTTTTTCTCTTAAAAGCAATGTACTTTGATTCATGGTTTGAGATTGAAATTGTCCTTTTGACTCCTTGACATGTTGCTACTATTAATAACTCAATTTTAATCTTTATAGTCATTTTTGGTTATGGATTAATGGGTTAAGTTGTCAATTAATTCTTAAAACTCAAAGTTGGGAATTGCAGGAAATTGCCTATTCTGCCCTGTTTTGTAAAAACTCTAGAAATATTATCGGAAGTCGGATTTAGGAACCGTAAACTCTCAAAGTTTACATTTTGAGTCTAGTTTGTCCTTGATTTTGCCCAAGAACTGGTGTTGTCTCTAAATAAGGTGAAAATCATCGTTTTCACTAACTGGTCAGAAATTAGCTGCACGGGTATGTAGTTTTGTAAAATTCATAGAAAATTCTAGAAAAATTGTATGGACTTGTATGAGCACTTCATAAAAAGCTAAAAGTCTAAACTACCAGAATATGGGAAAAATTGTAATTTATACAAGTTTTGGTTGTGCAAAAGTATTGGAAAGAGTGTCCAAGATCATTAACTATTGGTAATATTGAAAATAATAACAAGGTCTTTTTGGGTTTCCCTCAAGACCCAAATTGAGTAGAATAAATAAATGAGAAATTGGTTTATTAATTATTATGGTTAATAATTAATTAGAAACTAATTGGAAATGTATTTTGGGAATTAATTAACAGTTTAATTAATTAAAGGATTGAATATTCATTAATCGATAGTTGGTTAATCAGGAATGTTCCAGAACCCTTATGGAATTAGGGTTGGATGAAAATCACTCCATCCCACATGCGAAAAGGAGTGAATTTCGTTGTTGGCCTCTCATCCCACATGGGAAGGAATACTAAACCTAGGAAGGGATCCAAGGCTATAATAGGGCCTTAGGGATTTCATTCTTCCTTGCACATTGGCTTGAAGTTTTGCAAATCCTTATTCCTCCCCCTCTTAGGGACGATTTCTAACCCTCTTAGGGTTTGTGAAATTGATCCTTCTCCTAGTTACTTTTATTCCACTCTTTGGTGTCATTGGGTGTGATACCATTATAGAGATTCTGGTTTGGGTCCTCTCATCCAAGCAACTTCGTGGAGGATCAAGATCTCAAGCATGGTGATCAAAGGCTACATAAGATGTATGTTTTTCTTCTTTGTATTTTTGTTTTCTAGGGTAGATGTAATTAGCATGAAACCATAGATCCGTAGGTTGCATGTACATTTAGGTATATCGTAGTTTTGATTTTTCTGCTACCTAGTTTAGTGTGTATTTTTGTTTTCTAGGGCTTTATGTTCACGACGTGAGCAGCCCAAATTAGGGTTTCTCTATTTTTTTTTTTCATTTTTCAAATTATAAGGTTTGTTAAATATGGATAATTACCAAATTTAAAATGTTTTAAATTTGGAAAATAATAAATATTATTTAACAACGATTTGAATTTGAATATTTATTTATTATTTAAATAGTGAATTTAAATATTTAATATTATTTATAATAGTGATTTATAAAATTTGAATATTATCCCTCATGGTTTATTAATTGTTACATTGCGTCCTTGCAATTAATTACAATTAATAATATACAACTAAATTTAAAGAGTTTTAAATTTTCCCCTTATATTAGAATTGTGTCTATTATATGTATAAGAAAGTTACAACATACGCCCTCGTATATTTTAAATATTGAAATTATCAGTCTTACCATGACTAAGCTCACCCATTCTGATGTAGGGGTTTAAGGAGGTCTCTATGAGTCCTAGTGAGGTCGGTTTTTAACATGCTTCGCGCTTACCACCATCACCACCCTAATGCATTTTAAGAATGGATTTACCGAAAGGGTTTAATAGTGATAATGGTCAATCTAAAAGTATTCTAAATACAAGTATAAAACAAAATCCCCTTTTATTAATAGAATGTGAATCTCATATTATCCATGAAAATTACACGTTCTCTTTATATTTTGTTGGTGGAGCTCGTGTGGTTAACCGACACATCAATCTAGAGTATAGTTGAGAATGATATGGAACTCGCGAATCTCAAGCGTAACTTAAGTCGGGGATCATTCGATTTTGTATGGTTAATTTACAATCTATTTAATGTGAATCTTATGTTATCCATAAAATTTGCACATTCTCTTTATAACTTGTTGATGGAGCTCGTGTGGTTAACTGGCCCGTTAATTTGAGAGTATAGGTAGAGAATGATATGGAACTCGCGAATCTCAAGCGTAACTTGGCCCAGGGACCACACAATTGTGTATGGTTGATTCACCATCTGTTCAGTGATCCGCGATGACCCCGTCATTGAATTTGAGATGAACATAATTTGATATTAACATGCCATTGATAGTCAATTAATCTCAAATATGTAGGAATTTCATGGTGATCGAAATTGGCAAAGGGCTTTGCCTACCTAAATAACTTTATGGTGTGTTTACGGCATCCATTTACACATCATGGAGCCAAATATGGATCATATCCTTCTTAAATAATTTTATTTAGGGTGATTATTTTCTAAGGATAAGTAAAACAAACTATAATGAGAATTGATATTGAATGATGTTTATAAGCTTATCCACTAAAATCTACTGCTATAAGTCTTTTGAAAGGATTAGCTATTAGGATGATCAATCTTGTCCAAATTCGTAGTTTGGGAATAGTTCTCATAAATGAAAAGAAAGATCATGCCTTTAATAAAGCTCTTCCTGAGGTTCATCCAA